TGTGTGTGTGTGTGTGTGTGTGTGTGTGTGTGCGTGTGTGTGCGCATGTGTGTGAGCACGCGCGCGCGTGTGCGTCTTTCTCACTCACTGGCAGCATGAACATCTCTCGCACTGAGTCAATTTCGTGCAGGATTTGCTTGAACCACAGCTCATACGCTGGGGAGAGAGACATGTAGATATGTATAGAAATTATCCCATGGACATCTAGAAAAACAAATGAAGAAGTTTTGGTTGAAGCAAATTGTAGAAGCAAATTGTTTATGACGAATATAAGAAAGCGACAGGCAAATTTCTTCAGACACACAACGCGGAAAGACGCATTGCAGAATATTGTAACAACAGGCAAGTTTGATGGAAAGGGAGGCAGAGGTAGACAGAGGGAAAAGATACTGGACAAGTTGACAACATGGCTAGGTGCAGCAAGAACAACAGACACAATTGCTGCAACGCAAGACAGAGTGAAGTGGAGGTCCACGATCGCCCACGCCAGTGGGCAAGGCACCGGATGATGATGATAGAAATTATACGTGACAGAGAAAAGAAATAGAAATAATAGAAGGCAACTTGTATAATGATTACAAAGTGCCACATCGCGTCAAAGCAGAGCTTTCCCTTTCATAAATCGGTGAGCTTATCTGCCTATACACATACATAAACATGGTTAGTTGATTAAACCTTCCTATGGCTTCGCTTGTGACCTTCAATGGCTATTTTTAAGAAGAATTTTCCTCAAACAGAGCACTTTGTTTGGCCTGGGCCAGTGTCAGGATTCGACTGTCTTAATTTTCTTAATTCCCTGGCTGCCTTTTTAAGAAAAATTGAGCGTTATATTTTATGTACGTTTTCATTCTCTGTCGCTGTTCTACAGAAAGGATGGTGTTGGTTCGAATCCCTGATTGAATGTTCTTAAACTTGGGTTGTTATTTTTTGTTTGTCTGTTGTTGTTTTGTTTTTTTGTTGTTGCTGGGGGGGGGAGTAAGTCTCCCTACCGATTTGGCTTGGTCCAATCGGAAATGGATGTTAGATTCTTTGGTCCTGCCAGAACAGTATTGAAAAGGGTATGGTGAAATGGTGAAATGGTGTAGGTTTAACGCCCGTATCAACACTATTAGGTTATTTAAGGGGCGGGATCTCCTAGTTTAACGTCCGTCTCCGATAGGACCGAGCCAAGTGGGAAGTTCGTGTAAAGTGCCTTTCCCAAGGACTCAACGTCGGACCGAGCTTAGGCTAGAACTTGAAAAGGGCGTTGAATCTATAACAATATTGAGTAAAGAGAAGCACATAGACACAATAGTGACAATCTTGAGTGAGAAATGAGTAAGGCTGGGAGGATGATGTGTGTGTGTGTGTGTGTGTGTGTGTGTGTGTGTGTGTGTGTGTGTGTGCGCGTGTGTGTGCGTGTGTGTGTGTGCTAGAGAGAGAGAAAGAGACAGAGAGACAAAGAGACAGAGAGAAAGGGCGTGTGTGTGTGTGTGTGTG